TTTCTCTCTCTCTCTCTCTCTCTCTTTCCTTCCCGTGGATAAGATAATTTTTTAAAGGACTCGCGAGGACTCACCGATTTGTCTCTCTCTCACCTCTGTCGTTCGTCCTTTGTTCCTGCCGGCCTTCGCCTTGGTCGTCGCGAACTACGCAGGCACGCGTGAGCGAATCGCCCGAGTCACTTATCGGTCGCGCGAGTGATACTGAGCGATCACGGATCGCGGATCGCGGGCGGTGGGCCACGTGCCAGAGCGGCGTGGCGCGACGCGGCGCGGCGCGGCGTAGCGGGAGCGTGCCGTGCGTCGCAGTGCGCGTGCTCGCTGGATCCGCGCGGGGTCACATGTCTCGGCACGTTCGCCGATTCGGTCGGTGCGCGCGGAACGCAATGTCGGATCGGATTACCGCCTCGTGAATGGAGCTTTCTGTTAAACGGTCGTCGATCATTGGCGTCGATTAGCGAGAGCGCTCGACGCGAGGTCGATCGATGCGGATGTTTCGAAGCGGAAACGAAATTCCGCGGAGAAACGTTCGTTTCGACGATAGGCATAGGCGAGAGATATGTTTTACATAGAAAATTTTCGGAAGAAATAATATAATGAAAGGAAATTGCGAGAGTCAAACGTGCGAAAGAAAACTTCAAAGCGGATGTATGTATGTATGTAAAAGAGATTTAGAATAGATTGGATTGAGATAAAGGTATAAATAACTTGATATGCGAATATTCTTTTTTTATATAAGATGAAAGATAGCTATTTTGAAATAATATATGAAAACTTTAGGCATGATTATTACAAATAAATTAATATTAGAAACAAAGAGAAAAAAATAATATATAATTAAAATTTTCTCGAAGAAAATATTAAACGTTATAATTTATGTAGACAAAATTGGGTGTAGACAATTTGAAAAATTATATTGTTATCTCTAGGACAGAAATGGATAACAGAACTTTATTCTTCGTTTAATTTCGGTCAAACTTGCTTTAATGAAATTTTGATACTGTAGAACTAGTTATATCTATAAAGCTATGTTTTAAAATAGCAAGTTGCAAACTTGTAAGAAAAGATGGATTTTAGCTATCTCTAAAGAAATTCTTATTAAGGAAAGATTAATTTTAAAGCAATTAAAAAACTCCGGATGAAAGAAATTTAGAATATCCGATAAGCGCGATGCAGGCGCATTAAGGAAATACGCAAACTAATATGGCTACATTAATCAACAGAATAAATTAATTAATCATGTATTTGATGTTAATCTACGGTAATGTGATTGTGTATATATGCGATAATGCCAATTAATATGCAACTTCATTAAAATATTTACTCGTGAAATCAATATCATTAAAGTATGATGCATTTGAATAATGAGCCACTATTAACAAAGTTATACGTGTAACGTTATCACTATCGTTAGTTCAATAATTAATTGATTTAGAAGATTATTGAATTGCACATATAAGATAATTTCACATAAGATTAACATTCAATACGCATTTTAGTTAATTGCAGCATAAACGATTATCTTTAATAAACACGAATTATAATGTCGAGTCATATTTGATTGGGAAGAGATTTACAGTTTCTACGTAACGTCCGAGAAACGACAACAATGATATGTAAATTTCCATCGTGTTCTAAAATTACAGTCAAACTTTTTCAGAATATTGTTTGTACTGCTTTACGGGCTTGCAAACACAATCGTACATATAACATACATCCGAGAATGTGTTTTCGTTCGTGCGTTGATGAGGTCAAATCGCGAACAGATGCGTATTAATTCTTATCTTACTCTTTATCTTGGCAATTACAGTGGTATAAGAAAGCCATATGACAATCGTTCATCAAGCGACTAGTTTCCTCTCTGCAACACAGAGTCTTTATCTCACTCGATAAATATCACGACCGTGCAAGGAAAAATGCATCCGCACGTAAAGTTCAATTTTGCTTGAAAGCATTTCTTTTGCTTCGCTATATCGCGAACTTTTTTTTCTGTACTCATCACAGAAATTATTTTCGCTGCGATTGCAAAATATAGAATGTCCTGAATCTACAAATCCCTTGGCCAATTTGGAACGAATATTTTTTTAATGATGCACTTGTAATTTATTCATGATTGAAGTTGGAAGATTTTTCAGAAAATAAACTTCAAATGATGCAAATAAATTATAATTCCATTGGTTTAATTTTAAGCTTAATTTGGTCTCTAACAGACTTCTAAAAGGACTTAAAAGGACTAGAAATACGAGGTAATATTTGAGAATACTAGAAATATTTAATAAAAATTTAGTAAAGAGTATGAATAATGTTCTTTATTTTTATAATAATAAAATTAATAAAATTGACTCTGAATTTATAAAAAAATTGTATAGACAAAATAACTCATTAGTCGTGAAACATTTTATATATTAACTTTTTAAATTTAACTAAAAAAATACAACTATCACATTGCCACTAATATTCACAATAAATTTTGGAATTAAAAAAATGTCTGTTATATAGATGCATAAAATTTCTCTGAAATTCTTTTAACATGAGATAATGCAAAATAATTATTTTTGTTAGTTAACTTTTATGCAGAATGTCAGATAATTAGTTGCTTTAATACAATCTATCTGATGTAATGAAACATACTTTCAAACATATATACTTCAATGTATATAAATATCTACTTAAAACTTCATCATTAAAATTGAATTATTTTGTATATCTCTCGTATATTAATGTCAAAATTTATAAAATTAATCATTAGAAAAACGTTTTCAATTCTATTTATTAAGTGAATATATAAGATACTTTCTATTATTCTTTCTATTATTCTTTTTATGTAAATAAATAAATATTTTTCCAAAGTGCACGTTAAGATCAAAATTCGAAAGTATTGAAGTTTGCCTCTTTTCAGCGATGCTGATTGGTTGTTTAGTTATGCTTATTTTGTGAATAACTGTTATCCCGAAGATTTTATATTTTGACAGTTTTGTTGTATCGTATATATCAAATAAGTAATAGTTTTCTATTATAATTTTTATGTTTTCTTAAAAAGAAGAAAGAAATAGCGCGCATTTGTAATGTCTAATCTATAATTAAGTTGAAATTACACGTAACATTATAAATGTAATAAATGTTTATTACATTCTTGTTGTATTCTGTGTTATGGTTTCATTATATTAAACTCTTATTTTTGGCATATTTGTATATCATGTATATCATTGTATATCATTATAATATTTTTTTCACAGGTAGTTTTGATTTTGCATTTTGCGTTGGGACAATTGTAGTTGGCGATAATTGTATATCATGATTATCGAACGTATAAACTATATTACATATAAATGGGCGTCGCCGAAACCACCGCACTGGACTGCGGAGAAAGTGCATT